AGACACCAAGTGGGGGGACCCTGGGGATGAAGGCAGGGGAGGAGGGGAGGGTGAAAGAGTGCAGAGGAAACGGGAGGTGGGAGAGGAGAGATGGAGAGAGAGAGGGAGGGAGGGCAGAGGAGGCAGCAGAGGGAGACTCACCCGGAAAAGGAAAGCGAGAACCTGCCTAAAGGTCCCCAACTATGGGCGCTGTCGCGTGAAGCAGGGTCCCACCTTTCGATGGAATCCTATGCAACAATTAAAAAGCATGTTGTCGATCTCTATTTATTGGCATGGAGAGACATCGTCTGCCGTGCACTGCTAAGCAAACAAGGCTGCTTGCAAAACAATAATAATAGCCTAAGTTTAAAAAATATCTTTTGCACAGAAAACAAGCCTGGAAGGACTCACACCTTGTGGTTGGCAGGGTGTGGGAGCCTTACAGGTGGTCTTATTTCCCTGTTCCTGTTTATTGCTTGGATGGGGGGGCGACGCACCAGTAGGACTTTTATAATGAGCCAGAACAGTGAGACTTGTTCGAAAGAGAACAAGCTGAGACGGAAGGGCTGGAGATGGGAAAGGCGGTGGTTGGGGTGCAGGGAGACGCTGCAGGGGGTGGGAAAGGAGGTGGTTGGGGTGCAGGCAGATGCTGCAGAGGGTGGGAGGGAGCCCTGGAGTGGGCAGGAGGCAGGGGACTAGCTGGGTGCCAAAGCCCAGCAGGCTAAGCCAGGCTACAGGGAGCCCCAGGGACAGGGAGGGGCATAGGAATCGAGGAGCTCCCCCACCCCCACCCAGTGGCCCCTCTGGGCCAAGGCTGCTCGCTGACCTTGCCGGGCCCCTTGACAGCTCTGCTCATCCCAGGGGATCCCCCTCAAGAGCTCCCCCCATCCCCCAGACTCCAGGACCACAGCAAGGGTGTTTTTTTTCTTTTTTCTATTAATACAAATTAAAACTGCATCTCCCCAACCCTGCAAGTGAGTTTGTAATTTGCTGTGCCAGAATCACTCTGGAGGGGAGAAATCCTTAGGGGCAGAGTCTTTAATAACTTCTGCTGCCCAAGGAATCGACTGCAGGGTCTGAAGCCTTGACGGGGTGGGGTGTCCATACCTGTGGCCGGGGCTGCGGGACTGGGGTGTGCGGGTTGTTCATAGAATTAGGAGGAGAGTTGCCCCAGCTTGGCCCATCCCAAGGCAAATCCCTCCGTCCTAGAGCCTCAGTGCCTTGGGCCCTGGTCACCTGGGTTGCGTGGGGTAGAGCCTAAGCCCCCAGGGGCGCTCTCCAGCCTGCTGCCTAGGATGTGTTGCCTGAGTCAGCTCTGTACCCTCCCAGGGCCTCAGTTTCCCCACATATAAAGCAAAAAGTTCAGACATGAAGAAGTTTTCTGTCTTTTAAGCCCAACCCTCTGTGACGTGCTTTCTTGGGCTCTCACTGAGTTATTAATTTTCGGAATTGGTAGCATTGAAACATTGAGAGATTTCACATAAAAACTGAGATTCCCGGCAATATACAATCCTCATTCCTGCTGGGCAGCCATTGGGAGGCGCTGATGGACGCTGCCCCCCAAAGACAGGCAGAGTCTCTCCACTTTGCCATAATGTCTGCCACCCTAACCTGCCTGGCCTTCCTTTCCCTATGGGCATGAGTTTACATCCCCCCGGGCCTGCACCAATGCCCATTTTCCTATTTATTAAATGGGTAAAAATCACAGGTTTTTGAGTCAACCTAGTTAGGTCCAAATACCAGCTCTAACTCTTGACACCTTAGGGAGTCATTTGACTTCTGAGCCTCCTCTGTAACATGGGTACTATAAAGGACCACGCCGTGTGTGGAGTGGCGTGGACTAAGACAACGCATGTAAAGTTCTTAGCGCTGTGCCGGGCACACAGTGAGCACTCAGCGTGAGCTCTTAGTAGGGTCCCTGTGCATAACCCCAGCTCGGGGTGAGGCGCACAGTAGGAACACAGTCGATGTTTGTTACATGAAGTAATGAATGGAGAGGATGAGAACTGGGGAATGGATGAAGTTGCAGAGTAGAGGCTGCAGGAGACCCCGGCTCAGGGGCCAAGGGAGGAGAAGCGTCATCTTCAAAGTAAGGCAAAGCCAACTTCACTCGGGAAGTCCCAGCCGCCGCCGGGGTCTCCGGACGTTACCTTGGCGCCACCTTCCGGCTGATGCGGGCCTCACAGCCACCCCCTCCACCCACGCGCCAGAGAGGACCCTACACCCCGAAGAGGGTGGTCCTGTTCGCTATTTTCAGAACTTGCATGGGAACCCAGCCCTTCATCGCACACTGGGGGACAAAAGCCCAGAACCAGAGAGGAACTTTCCTGAGGCCACAGAGAAAGCTCCTGGCGGAGCTCCAATCAGGACCAGAACAAGCGAGAGCTGCCAGAAATAACCACCTCTTCCGTTTGTCAGGGACGCTGAGAAATAGAAAATTGCAAATTCTTGGGCAGGGGCTCTGCTGATTCTCAGGGAGAACTTCTCCCAGAAGCAGACCAGGAAGAGAGGAATAGATGAAGGTAGTTCATTTGGGAGTTGAACCCAGGAAGCAGCAGTGATGAAGTAGGAAGAGAGACAGGGAAGGGACGGAAGCCGAGGCAGAGTGCGCACCACAGGCCGCTAGGAGCCTAGGAGGCAGAGTGGGTCACACCTCAGTTCTGTCCCTCCCGAGAGCAAGGAAGCTGGGCTATTTATCCTTCCACTTTCAACCCTGGTTAGCGGAGAGTACTCTGGGGCGTGACCTCCCCCATCTGCAGCTCAGCTGGCCTACATCCACACCACGCATGTTTTCAAGACCTGGGCGAGCCCTGAGGCCAGCCACCCCCCATGCCTGCAACAGGAAACTGACTGCTCACATGAAAATATGAACTGCCAAGGGCAGTGGTTCCCAAAGTGTGATCCCTGGACCAGCAGCGGCAGCACCACCTGGGAAACTCGTTAGAAATGCAAATTCTTTTTTATTTGTACATATTCATGGGGTACAAGCACAATTTTGTTGCACTGATATATTGCATAGTAATGCAAATTCTTGAGCCCCATCCCAGACCTACTGAATCAGACATGCGGGGGCTGGGGCCTAGCAACCTCTGACAAGCCTCAAAGGGTGGTTCTGACACACACTCAAGTTTGAGAACCTCTGACCCAGGAGAGAACCAGGAGGCATCAATGGAATCTGCTATACAGGTATTGTCACCATTTGCCAGATAAGGAAACAGAAGCAAAGGAGTGAAAGTGACTCCCCCAAGGTCACGCAGATAATAGGTGGCAGACATGGGTCTTCTGTCTCGTTCCACCAGACCATGGCACGGAAGTAAGCAGCACTAGCATTTGGGCTCTACGTAGGGGGTGGGAATTAGGGCCCAAAGCTCGCCTCTCCCCCACCACCACTCTGCTCGGCTTTCTAAACCAAAGGCCTCCACCTGGTGCATCCAAATGGTCCTTGAAGCTCCTCTGGGAAGTCTGCCAAGCCAGGTGCCCCTCTCTTGGCTCCCAGCTGCCCCCACAGCCTCCGTGGGGACAAGCCCTCTCCACCCTCACCCTCTAGCCAGCAGGACACGTTGGGGCAATCCAAAGCAGCTTCTTGCCTGGGCAAGGTTGAGACCCCCGGGCTAAATCTCAGCACGGGTCTTTGAGTCTTTGTGTCGGGGCTTCGCCTGGCACCTTGCATTGCTCTTCCCTCTCCTCCGTGTCCTCCAACCTCCCTCCCTTCCCCTCCCCTCTGCTCCCACTCCATCTGCTGCTCCTCCTGGCTAGGCTCCCCCTCAGTTGGCACAGCAGGAAAAGAGAACAGGATGGTTTATTTTTATCCTGAGATACTGCTGGGGGGAAGGGGGTACCATCTGACCGAGAAGCAGCAGCTCCTGTAGCAGTGGAGAGGTCAGAAGGCGGTGCGAGACCCAGGATCTCCCTGGGAAGGAGCTACAGATGTCGGTTCCGGACAGCAGGCAGATCCTGGAGAAGCTCAGGACCAAGAGTGGGGAGCTCTGAGCACGGCACCACTGGGCACCACTGTGTGACCACAAGCAGGTCACTTCCCCTCTCTGGGCCTCAGCTTCCCCTTCTGTGAAAAAGGGAGGGATGCCCCAGAAGGCTGTTTGGGGGAACATGAATCAAATGGGGAGAACACTTTGCAAACTTGATGCCAAATGTTAGCACACGTGGAAACCACCCTGAAGGAGCATCGGCCTGGGGACGCTCTTATTTGTCCTCAGAAAGTGCCCTAATTCTGTGAGCCTGATAGCAAGTTAAACAGCTCGTGTCACCCAGCACGTCCACCCTCGTTTTTCTTTTTACATATTTGATGATTTTTTAATTACATAAGCATTATGTGAATTCACTTTCCTTTTGGAAAAAAAAAATGAAGCATTATGGGAAGCCCAAATCTCCCTTTAACCAACCCTCTCCCAGACCCTTCTTCCCCACCCCAGACGTCACCGCCCTTCAAGTTGTGGATTTGCTGCGTACCCTTCCAGAACCTTTGTTATACCTATATATAGGATGTATATTATATTTATACATATATCCATAGATAACATATCATACATCAAAGTGTGGTACTTTACCAAAATGTCCCACACCCATCATTCTGCAACAGGCTCTTTTTTTTTTCACTCAACAGTGTTTTTGAGAGCCTGTTGTATAAATATATTACAATTTGATTTAGCCAATCCCCTGCCAATGGACAGTTAAGTGACTTCCAGTCGTACACTGTCACGAACAATGCTGCAAGAGACAATCCGTGTGTGTCTCCCTGGGCACAGGGAAGCCACCAAGACACATCTCTGGACACCTATCTGCTGGGTTGGAGGGTGTCGTGGCTATTACTATATCACCCCTGCCACCACCACCAAAGTTTTGCCTCCATCTTTCAAAACAAGCTGGAGACTGGCTGGGCTCCAGGGCTGGGATGAGAGGTTCTCCAAGGTGAACTGTTTCTGTGTCCGGTGCTAGGGCTGCTGTCTCGATCACAGGGGTGCAGGCAGAGGGAGGCTGTGCCCGGTCAGGGCTGGCCCCTCGCTCTTGCACCATGGCAGCCCCAGGCTCTCTGGCAGGGTGCCCATGCTGCCACGCCCCTGGGCACGCACAGCTCACTGTCTCTCCTGAACTGAGATTCGGCTTTCTTTGCCATCCTCCTGGGTGACGGGCTGGCACCCGTGCAGGGTTTCTTGCACTGGAGTGGCAGGGTTGGGGCCAGCATGATCCTCCAGATAAACTGTCTCCTGGGGATCCTGCAACACAGCCTCGGGGTGAAGGGCCTGGGGAGCCAAGGTGTGAGGTTACCCCGACAGCAGGGGCAGCTGCACCTCCGAGGAGCCCCTGGCTGGGAAGCGGATCCCTGCCCAAGCCCTTTCCCCTTCCCCACATGCTGGATCAGCGTCGATTCCTTGGGTGCCTCCTGCCCCCTGCTGGCCACACCAAGGGTGACAAGGAGTTTCCAGAGGGGGAGCCAGTGGGTTCAGGGAGCTGTTCCTCTTGCTACCACCCAGCTGACCCGGCACCAGCACCCAAAGATGTGGCTCCCCACGTGCTCAGTGCCAGGAGGTGTGAAGAACAGCCAGGGTTAGACTTTGCCAGTGGTGCCAGGGCAGCTCGGTGGGGAGGTGACAAAACCCGGCACTGAGGGAGTGGACAGAAAGAGCCAAGGCCGGAGCATGGGGGCGTGGGAGTGAGAGTAGCCAGTCCTGCTGCCACCCCGGTGGCCACAGGGACAGACCCAGAATCTGTTTTCCTGCCCCACAGGCAGCAGCGTGTCAATCTTTCTTCCCAGTTTGCCAAAGCTCTGTCCCAGTTCCCGAGGTGACCTACCTTAACCTTTGGCTTCTTGACCACCTTTCCTAGAGAAAGAAAGGATAGAAAGTTGGGGAGGCCAGACCAGGAAACAGGTTGCCCCCCCCAGCACCTCCCCACCTGGGGACTCACTGATGTAGACAGACACCAAGAGGACGATGGCACACAGGATCCCCAGCGTGATGGGGATCAACACCCAGGCTCTCGGCCGTTCCCAGGGACCTGGAGAAATCAAGACTTCAGGGTGACACACCCCCAGGCCTCCCCTGTGCCCAACGCTGCCATGCCTTGCCAGACTGTAAAATCCAATATGCAAGCTCATCGACATCGGGGTGGCCCTTGGGGAAAAGTGGCTGGCAGATGTCTCTGCATTTTTTTTAATGTTTAAAAAAATCTGGATATCTGGTTTCTCTTAAAAATTGGGAAGCTTGAGCCCCAGCAGGCAGCCTCCCCACCTGGTCACCGCGCTGAGCGGCGGTAGCTATCTGTGCCTGCACACGCACTCCCCACCGAGCCCTACTCGTCTCTGCACTGTTGCTTTTCTTACAGAAGAGCGGAGGGGGAAAGCAAAGTGTCTTGTACCTAAGTCTCTATTCTAAGTGAGTAAATGAAAAAAAGACCCAGAGGCAAGCAGGGATAGGGTAAGGCACGGGATGCAATTGCTTTAAGACAAAATTTAAGGGGACACCAAAAACTCCGTAATCAAGATAAGTGCTATTTTAATGCCATATTTTGAAAATCAGCAGGAAGACACCAATTCAGCAAACTACAGCCCATAGGCCAGTTGCCCGCTTTTTAAATAAAGTTTTATTGGAACCAGGGCCAGGATTAGGGTGAGGCAAGTAAGATGGGGTTGTGCAAATGCTGGGTTGGATTCTGTTCTTTATTTAAAATTTTACTTTTTTGTTCATCGTAGATTTTTTGCATTAATTTTGATTTTTAAAAATATTGCATCCAAATGTTATTCATCTTAATCACTGCATTTTTATGGCACCCCGATAAATATTGTGCCTGGGGCAAGTGTCTAGCTCACCTCACTCTAGTCCCAGCCCTGCCAAGAGGAAAGTAAATTTTAAGAAAAAGCAAAGAGAATGTATTTCTTTTACCCCTGACCTTTTTCACTCATTAGCGTGACCTGCCTAGTCCCTGTAGTTATCTGAGTTTGTGAACTGTGCTGTAGGCCAACCTTCTCATTCTAAAATCTGAACTGAAGCTGAGAGGGGACAACATCACCCGCACTAGTACCTGAAGTGCAGGGTGGCAGAACAGCATTTATGGAGTGCCTCCAAAGTGCAAGAACCCATGCCAGGCACTTACACCAACCTACTAAGGGAGGTGCTATTATCCCATTTTACAGATAAAGAAACTGAGGCTCAGAGAGGGAAAGTAACTTGCCCAGGCTCCCAAGATAAGTGGCAGAGCTAGGATGCCTCCCCCTCTCATTTCACCTCCCCTCACCCTTTCCCCACCCAGTGTTTCTATGTGCCTCAGTCTCCCCCTTGAGTTCCCACCTCCCTAGACTGCTGCCAGGGCCCATTGTCCAGGACTCACCACAAACAGTATCAGCCTTGTCAGTTCCTGCCTGTAGCTCTATCAGGTTTTGGGTCTCACACCTACACACAGACACATGTGCACACACACACACAGAAAGAGATATTAAGTTTCCCAAACCAAAGATTTCCAACCCCGGAGGGAGACAGTCTCCAATCAGCAAGTCCAGGTTCACTGGAGATGCCTTGTGTACAACGTCCTATGCTGGGTATTATAGGAATGAACAGAGACTCTGTTCTTATGGAACTCATAAGTGCAGAGAAAAGATTATTGCTCATCTTGAAGAAGTACTGATAATAAGTAGGAGAGTCTATAATGAGTGCGAAGCTTTGTGATACAGGCTAAAGTGAAGTAGGAAGTGTTCATTGGAGACAAGGACCATCATGGCTGGGATGGTGAGATGATGAGTTCAGTTTAAGACAGGGTTTCTCAACCTTGGCACCAGAGACATTCGGGCTGGATCATTCTTTGTTGTGGATGTTTGGCAGCACCCCTGGCCTCTACCCACCAGATGCCAGTAGCATCCCCCTGCCCAGCTGCAACAACCAAAATGTGTCAGACGCTGCCAGATGTTCCACAGGGAGAAAAACTGCCCCAGGTTAAGAACCTCTGGTTTAAGGGTCTTCCAGAACAAATGCCCTGTGGAGGAAAGATCTGCGTGAGCCCTGAGGGACGGCGAATGTGGAGCAACAGCGCATTCTAGCTAAGCAGGACAACACGATGTGAGGGACGTCGGGCAGGTGGCATGCAGGATAGTGTTGGGGAACGACGGAAGATCGAGTCTTTAGAACCACATTGCTGATAACCAGGCATGAAGGCCTTGACTGGATTCAGCTGGCAGGTCTCATCCTCAACCAGCCAGATGACTTAATCAGTTAGAGCATTCAGCCCGCCAGAGAGCCCAGAGGAGAAACGACAGACGAGTGGCCAGCCAGGAGGCGAAGCAGGAGGCCAGCCATGAGATGCTGAAGACCCGGTCCAGGGTGACCCCAGGAGGAGTGGGGAAGAATGGACAGAGAAGGATGTCGCCCAGGAAAAACCATCTAAGGTGGGGAAGGAGAGAGAAGCTTCAGAGAAAGCACACTTTAGTTTTACATTAAGAGGAGCATTCGAGAGTTTACAACACACTTTAACGTGTCTATCCCAAGCCTTGTGAGATGAAGGTCGCTCCCATTTTCCGGTTGAGGACACCGAGGCTCAGAGAGGTGAGGGTCACACACTTACTGAGCTGCAGTCAGATTATAAGCCAGTGTGCTGATTCTACTCTACCACCGGTGCCTCCATTTATCGGTCAACATCTATCAGTGAAAGTGTATTGAGCAGGCAAGCATGGTGACTCACACCTGTAATCCCAGCACTTTGGGAGGCCAAGCCAAGGCAGAAGGATTGTGTGAGGCCAAGAGTTCCAGACCAGCCTGGGCAACATAGCAAGACCCCATCTCTACAAGAATGTTTTTAAATTAGCCAGGTGTGGTGGTATGTGCCTATAGTCCTAGCTACTTGAGAGGCTGAGGTGGGAGGATCGCTTAGCCCAGGAGTTCAAGGTTGCAATGAGCTATGATCAGGCCACTGTACTCTAGCCTGGATGACAGAGCAAGACCCCGTCTCTTGAAAAAAAGAAAAAATTGGCCGGGCATGGTGGCTGACGCCTGCAAGCCTAGCACTCTGGGAGGCTGAGATGGGAGGATTGCTTGAGCTCAGGAGTTCAAGACTGGTCTGAGCAAGAATGAGACCCCTGTCTCTACTAAAATCAGAAAAATTAGCTGGGCTTCGTGGTATGCACCTATAGTCCCAGCTACTCAGGACGCTGAGGTGGGAGGATCACTTGAGCCCAGGAGTTTGAGGTTGCAGTGAGCTACGATGATGCCACTGCATTCTACCTGGGGCAACAGAGCGAGATTCTGTCTAAAAAAAAAAAAAAAATTGACTGAGCTCCTGAAATGCATTAGGCACTGTTTTAGGCAAAGGGGATGTATCAATGGAAGGGGGGAAAAAGGCTAAGTCTCTACATATAAGGAGTTTGCAATCTACCAGGGAAAGGCAAACAGTTAACAAGTAAAATGTATATGGTATGCCAGTATTCATGTAAACAGTAAAAGGAAGGAGAATATGTGTGTTTGTGGGCATGTGTTTTTTTGTTTGCATGTGTGTACTATAGAATCTCTGGAAGGGTATGCAAGGGACAGTGGCTCCCTCCAGGGTGGAGAACTGGGAGCTGAGGAGCAGGGCTGAAGGGGGGACATCGCTGTGGGCCCTTTCGTGTTTTCTGTCCCATGTGCCTATGTTTCCCAATTTTAAAAATTAAATGCAAAAAGTTAATGGGGCATGTGTTTAAGGTACTCTAGGCAGAAGAGTCTGATGCAAGAGAATGACCGTGTGTTCAGGGGACCACAGGAAGCAGGACGCAATGCCATGCAGGGAGGAGACGAGGAAATGCGGCTGGAAGGTCAAATGCCGTGCTAAGGAGTCTGGGTTTGTTCATCCTGAAGGCAACAGAGCCATGAAGCATTTCAAACAGGGGGGTGTCGTGATCCGAAAGGAAATGTAGAACACTCACTTCAGCAAGGGGATGGAGAACCAGCTGAAGGGCAGAGGCTAGAGGCAGGGAGACCAGTGAGGAGGCAAAGGCGTCACCCAGACCACAGTGATGAGGCCCAGACGAAAGTGATGACAGTGTAGACAGTGAGGAGACGGACCCCCAAACACTTAGAGGGCCAGATGGACAGGACCTGGTGACTGGTTTGGATTGGGGGGAGGAAGGGAGGCCCAGGGGTGAGTGCCCAAAGCCGCAGTGGTGCCCTTCACACAAGGAGAGGGGAGTAGGTGGGTGAGCGCCCCTGGGATGCACAGAGCTTGAGATGCCTGTGAGCCGCCGGCTGGAGGGGAACACTCAGCAATTGGACATGACAGTCTGGGACCCAGGAGGCAGATCTAGACTGGAGACGCTGATTGGGAGCCATGGGAGAGAGATGGGAGTGGAAGCCATGGGTGTGGGTGAGATGGCACAGGAGAGGCTGGCAAAGGCATTAGACAGGAGATCCCAGAACAAAGCCCTAGAAAACCAGGTAAGGAACAGGGAAGAGGAGGAAGACCAAGGAGAAGCAGAAGGAGAATGAAGAGGAGTGTCCCGACACCCCCAAGATGGGACAGCCTCATGAAGATTGAGAGCTCAGCGGTATCTACGACCACCAAGAGACGGCAGGCAAGAAAATGCTGAAACGTGCCCATCTGGCCGATCAGAAGGCCACTCTATAGATGTTTCACAAGTGTGCAAGTGTGTGTGGACTTTGGGGAGCGAGACTGCCCCGCGGAGTGGCTGGAGAGAGAGGAGGCAGGTCCATGCCACTGTTGGGGCAGGAAGCACAAGGGATGAGTCCTTATACCTTGTCCAGCGGTGACACTCCTCGAAAGCAGACGACACGTTGGAGAAGAAGCCGACTGCGCAGGGTTCGCAGACGGTGTCAGAAATGCCTGTACCTGGAGCGGGTGGGGAGGGGGATGTTACCCGTCACAGTGACACTTGTCTGGCTCCCAGTGGACAAGCAGGACAGGAAGAGCTCCTGCCCTGAGCACTCCTTCCCAGACGGCTGCAGCCCCCAGGAGACTTCTGCCGACGCCCCCAAAGGCAGATCCCCACGGCGGGCAGTGCCATGGAAAAGGTCCCATCTCCTGCTCACTCTAGCAGGCATGCCGTTGTAGGCTGGAGTGTCGCTTCCTCTGGCCCTGGGGCTAAGCACCCCCTGCCCAGCCTCTCACCTTTGACCCTACGCTTGTCTGTCTTATCTCCAGAGCTGATTCCTGGACAGGCCACTTACCGATCCGCTTGACGCCAAAGCCAGGGGAGCACGAGCTGTGCGGGGCGCAACTCTCGCAGGCCTCGCTGGTGCAGTGCAGGCCTTCTTCACAGGTGCAGGTGGTGTCTGTTACGGAGGTGCCCTGCCTCTGCACCCGAAGCCCTAGATCTGAGCAGAGACAGGCCAGAAGGATGGGAACTCCATGCTGGGCCACACTCAGAGCCCCACTCCCCATCCTACCTGCTCTTTTTCCCTTAGACCCTCTTCCAAGTAGAGATGGCCGTCAAATTGTTAATATCTAACGGCCAGTCCAACCCAGACTCCAACCAATCAGAACAGACCCTGGCTACATAAAATCAGAATGGCTGCACTGTCAGCAACGTGAGCTGGAATGTGAGCCTGGCTCCCAGGGGGTCCCCTTCCCAACAGCCCACGCACTGTGGTCGCAGTGTTTGTGCTGGTAGCAGTATCTCTCTCTGTTCCAGGTGTCTAGGAATTCGCCGTTACTGCAAGGCCGGCATTTTGTGTCGATGACATCTGTGCACTCATCCACAAGTTTCTCTCCTGGAAAACGTCAGGAAATGAGGCAGCTGTGAGCTGTGGCTAATTCAAGTGAGTCAGACACTTATCCCAGAATGATCAGGCCAGGCTTTAGAGTGGGGGATTCAGAGATGAAAGTCTCGGACCCTTCATAGCATGGTGGGAAAGATAGAGGAGATAGGAATCCTAATCTAGGGTAGACAGAGGTTTACCTGGCAGAGAGGGAACCCAGAACATTCTGACAGCAAGGCAGGGGTGGGAAACGGGTCATTTCAGACTCCAGTTTACAGGTAATACATGGGGTCTGCATATGCCAGCAAACCAAGAGGGGTCCCACTGCGGGGCTAGAGGCTTGGCATCTCACCTGGCCGGCACAAAGAACAGCAGTGACTGTTTAGTAGGTACTTTTGTCCTGTGCATGCACTGTGTAGTTCCGGGTGGACCTAAAAACAGAATTGTGCAATTTGAAGAGAGCTTGAAATCTCCACTGTGGCCTCCTTGGCAGAAAAGTGAAAGTCGGCAAGGACAGAGGCTGCAACTGAAGTGGAAGTCCAAAGCGGAAAACGGAGCCTGCATATGACTTGGTGTTTGTTTTTAACTAAACTGCCAGCTGAGCTCATTACAAACACGCCCAGAGAATCATTCTGGCATTTTACAAAGCAATGGCACTGGAACTCACAACGTTCTCTCAACTGAACAGATCTTTTTTTTTTTTTTTTTTTTTTTTTGAGACAGAGTCTCACTCTTTGCCCTGGCTAGAGTGAGTGCCGTGGCGTCCTAGCTCACAGCAACCTCAAACTCCTGGGCTCAAGCGATCCTACTGCCTCAGCCTCCCGAGTAGCTGGGACTACAGGCATGTACCACCATGCCTGGCTAATTTTTTCTATATATTTTTAGTTGTCCGATTAATTTCTTTCTATTTTTAGTAGAGACGGGGGTCTCGCTCTTGCTCAGGCTGGCCTCGAACTCCTGAGCTCAAACAATCTGCCCGCCTCGGCCTCCCAGAGTGCTAGGATTACAGGCGTGAGCCACCGCGCCCGGCCCAGATCTGCCTTTTGATTGGACTCCCAATGCTTCCTCTTCCCAAATTCCCAGCAGGACATGAGGACTCCAGTGCCTGCCCTGGCATCCTGAGGCTGGCTGGCTTCGGCTGGTCCCATTCCTGGACGGGGCTATATTTAGCACTCGGCCTCTTCCTCCCATTCTTCTGCTCCTCTTCCTTCCCCGCTCCAAGCCCCATTTTCTCCCTCCAGCTCCTCATCGCCTGCTCATCCAGCCCCTCCCTCATACAGTGCTAGGATGGTGAAGCTGGAAGGGTCAACTCCCACTCTTTCATTTTCCAGATGGCGAGACTGACCACCAGAGAGGCGGGGTCGCTCGTCCAGGGTCTCACGGTGACAAATTCCGAATGAGAACTCAGCTCCTTCTTTCTCTCCATCAACTTGTGTTTCACCTACACTGCTTTTACTACATCTGGGTACCACTCGTGCTATCAATTACTACTTGTTAATTTAAATGCATTTATTTTCAATGTAAACCTTACTTCATCGCCATGAGAGAAGAAACAGTATAGCTTCTCAGAAATAAATGGTAACCTTAAAAATAAATTCAAAGCAAACACAGCAATGTTATTAAACCCCAGCTGGTTGCTTTAATTGCTGAAGGCCCTCCACCCCAGGCCTGCTCTTGATTTTTGTTTTAAAAGGAGGATAAGCAAGACTTTGAGAGGCATTAACTAGAGTCTACCTCCAGAGACTTCCTCCTTGAAAAAAATGAGAAGCATTTTTAAAAGAACTGTAAAGTGAGTCTGTGTTTAGTTCCCTGTGCATGTGCTCCCTAAAATCATCCCACACTTTGAGGACAGCCAGGGAAAAGAGCACAGTTTTGAAAGTCAGACAGCTTTAGGCTCCAGTTTTGACTTTGTAACACTAGTTATTTTGCTTCTCTTAGCTTCAGTTTCCTCAACTCTAAAATGCGAGTCCTAATATCTGTCCTGCAGGTTAGGTTGTGAAAATGGAAAAGAATATAAATATATGTATTTATACATATATAAATGGCACAGTGTCTGGAACATAGGAGATGCTCATTAAATGGCAGTTTTACTCATCATACAGATGTACCTACTTGGATGCCCAGCACCCTGGCTCACTGGCTGGCTGTCCAGGATCCCAATTGGTAGCTGTCACTCAACCTGAGTATCTGAACAAATTATTTACAGAACTGTGTCTTAACCCAAATGAAGAAGGAAGTAGAAAAGGCTACTGCCCCGACCAGCACATCACAAGGCACCATCCTATGAACATGGACATTCCCACTATGCTCCCAGATCATTGAAATCCTTGATACTGTCTTCAAATACGTGGTAAGTACAGCTCCTCCTCTTAAAATCTGTCAATCTCACTCCCCAAAGCTCTGGTTCTTCTGCCACAAAGAGCTCAGGACAAGGGCTTGAAGACTTTCATCCTCTGAGAGGCAGGCTCAGGAATCTGGAAGTTGTAGATTCATATCCAGCTTCCACCATTACCTAGTTATGAGATCCTTCGGGAGACAATTCCCCCTTTTGAGCCTCAGTTTGCACATCTGTATAATGGGGGAGTGGGGAGAAATCAGACCAAGAATGCATGTAGTGTTTTGCTCAGAGTCTGACACATGGGAAGCCCTCAGTAAGTAGCCCCTGCTACTGTGGTTGTCACAGCCCAACCTCTACAGGGAGCCAAAATTGGGGATTATAAGGGCAGACCCTATTCTTGAGAAGACCACACTTCATCCCATCTCCTCTGGCTCTTCCTCCATCCTCCCACAAGGACTGTCTTCGCCTCTCTCCAGCTCCACCTTCTCCCTGCCTCCTTTCTCCCTAAGAGCCACTGCTTAGGGTGAAAATGAAAGCTCTGGGACCAAAGCAGCTTCCCCACTCCCTCTCTTCCCTTGCTGCCAACCCCCACGCCATGGGGCATTCCTGCCCAGACCTCATGCCAGCATCTACAGCCCCTGAAAGTAGGGGGAGGCCAGAGGGGCTGGATCGAGAGGGCCAGGTACTTGGGGGATTCCCAGCCTCCAGAATGAGGAACTACAAAAATACATTTCAATAAAAATTGAGTCAAGTGTGGGCTTCTGAAAATCCCGGAGATACGCTTGGTTGAGTCTCAGCCCTCCATTGCCCGGAGAAACCCCTGCTGATTTCCCATCCCTTCCTTGAACTCTTCTTCTCTCCCAGGGGTCCCCCCATGTCATCTTAAATTCAGGGCACAAGGACACAGCCTTGGGATTCCTCTGATGGGGAGGGGGTGTTAAAAGCTCCTTGCCTTCTCAAAAAAGTACCTGGGACTCTGCTGCCACCCCTTGTTCCCACAAGATGCCCTGGAAGAAGACAGCCCCAGCTGGCAAGAAGATGATAATCACTCACAGAGGCTGGCATTTGTCCACAACGGGAAAGGGACAGGAAACGGGCCAGACCCACCCCTTCCCTTGGCCCGCCTCACTCTCCCCTTCCCCCAAACCCCTACCAGTCTCTGTGTGGGCAGCCTCGGAGGCTCCCTAAACCCCAAACCCATCCACACCGCCCAGGCACGTGTGTGCCAGCCATGCCTTCCCTAAGCGGCCTCTGTGGGCTACCTGGGACCCCAACCAGGCGAGAGGGGAGAGGCAGCCCACCTCATTTAGCCAGGAACCAGGGTACTTTGCCCAGCCTCCATCCACCCTTCTGTCCCCCCAAAACCAGCTAGGAAGGTCTCCTCCCCGAAGTCTTGCTTCTCTTTCCTTCTCATTCCCCACTCTCAAATCCTGTCGGGTCCGGGCAAGAACAACTCACGGCGGTCAGCAAGCAGCCCCAGAGGACACACTGCAGACGCAGACGAGCCATGGCGAGGTGAGACCCAGGCGGCGGGGGACTAGGCGCCCGGGCGGGGCCGCTAGTAACTCCCCTGTCCCAGCCCTGGCCCCGCCCAGGAAAGGGGTGGGGTCTTGGAGGCCCAATCGCGGTCCGCCTGCGAGGGGGGCGGAGCCCCTTGGAAGTCACAGCGCAGGGATTTCCCCAGGACATTCCCAGGACTCTAATTCCCTCCGGGAGTTTAGGGACGCGCTTCGCTCGGTAGGGGAAGAGGCGGGGTCCCAGAAGGAGCCCTTTCTCCCTGCCCCCTGGACCCCCAAAGGCCAAGCCCAGGCGGGCCGGGAGCCAGCCTGCTTCCAGGGGGGCAGAGGGAGGAGAAAGAGGTCCCCATGGGTGCTGGGGGGCCGCCATAGGGACCCCCCACGGTTCTCTTCCGCACTGCCTTACCCCCGCTGCCTCCGGGAATCCTGGCAGAACCGAAAGCGTTTCCACCGTGGATAGAGTGGTCTCAGGAAGTCCCCTCCCCACCACCCCAGAAAACGGGAAGGTCACGTTGAGTGCGGGGAGGCATTTCTAGGAAAAGGGGTTTCCAACCCAGAGTTTCACTCTCTTTCAAAGGAAATTCCCTCGTGTGGGCGCGGCGTCCCAGCTTCCCTGTCCATGCATCCGTGCACCCATGCGTCCCCACCGCGTCCCAGCTCCCACCCAGCGCCTGGAGACAGGACTTTATTGAGTGGACCAGCCTTTTGTGCTATCATAGGACCTCCTGAGAATGTGAGGAGCCTCAGGGCCCTATCATTCTGCAGAGACACACACACACCCTGTGCCTGTATTTCCCCAGTTCCTGGCCCCCTCGAGCCGTTTTTTTGTTGTTGTTTTTTTAATGAATGTATTTAAAATACCAAGGAATAAAATAAGTTTCAATGAAATAATCCCCCCAAATTGACCGGCACGATTAGAACATTAGTAAGCCCTAAGGGCTAAATTGACAACTGTTACACTCATGATTTAGTTTTAACTTTCCCTGCCTGACTGGCACCACTACCGCACAGGGCTGGTTGGCCAGAGTTTTGGGGGGTCCAGTACGCCAGTCTGTTACCACCTTTTGACAACGGTGCGCTGTGTTTCTGTGTGAAGTGGAATTTGTGAATAGTTGCACAGCTCCACAGTATTTTTTAATTCTGTCTGTTTAACAGCCCATCACGTCAAAGAAGACCAAGAAAATGCTTGGCCTTTCCTACTGCATTTGACCTTTGACCTTCTGCTGAGCTGGTTGGTACTGGAAGGGGCCCATGTGGTCTTGTCTGGCTTTAGGGGAAGCCTTGCTAGCCTCGGCCAGTTTTGCCTCTATGTCGTTGGCCCTGCTGCCTTTCTTGGGGGCCTTCTGTGTGGCTGTACATGGTTTGGGAGGCGCCTTCCTCACCTCCCCAGGCTTCTTGGCTGGCTTTTCCACCTCGCCCAAACTGGAAAGGCTCTTTTTTGCCTCACTTGGTTCCATGGGGCCCTTCTCCTTGGCCTCCCCAGCTCTCCTAGGGACCACCGAGGCAGCCATCCTCCTGAGCTGGATTTTCCTCTTGTGCTCAGGAACGAATTTGAAGCTGCCAGTGGCCCCCTTGGCCTTGGAATTGAGAGGCCTGGTGAGGAGGCTGCTATGCATGCCCATGGCCAGGGCCTGCTTCAGCAGGCACTTGAAGCTGATGACATTCACCGTCGGGTACTGGTGAAGAATGTAGAACCTGATGGCCTCCAGCGACGACGTGCCTAAGCGCTGCTCCCCCGCCCCGCAGCGCCCCCAGCACCAGGTGCAGCATCAGGAGCTGTGGTGGCTCAGCAAGAAGGTTCACCCGCCTGGCTTTTCAGACCCAGGAGACCGGGATGATCCTGCCATGGAAGTCGAAGAAGTTGAGGTTTCGCCGGTGACGCTCCCAGGAGCCATCACATAGGCAGCTGCAGCTGGCTAGCACGAGGCGTCCTTCCAGCCGTTCTCGAAATCAGCGTTAACACTCTGCTCTGCAGCATGGAACGTCTGAGTTCTGGTCCGGGTTCTGCCTCTGACGGACTGGGGGTTTCCTTGAGCCTCAATTTTCCCCCAAGGAAACCTGAGGAGCTTGAACCACACAGTGGTTGGAGTGATGACCATCCAAGCTCTGAATGTCTGGAACAGGCCAAGCGGCCAGACTGCGTGGAGCAGTAACGAAAGGAAAGGAAGAGGCTGCTGACCCCATTCTCGTGGCTTCTGCTTCCAAGGGCACATTTGCAACTCTCGTGAGTTCTACCTCTGGAATCCAACCTCCTTTCTATAACCTCTGCCCCTGTCCTAATTCAGAGGCTGCTTATCTTTCACCTGGACTGTCCCAACAACCTGACTCATTCAATACATACTTCTTGAGCAGCTATTATATACCACACAACTCTCTCTACACACTATTGCAGTTCTCTTGGTAAACTCCAGATCTGATCTGATTAGGGCACTTTCCTGCTTAAAAACCTCTTCGAGCTCCCCTACACCCTCAGGATGATCCAAACTTCTTATCCTGGCTGAGCATGCCCTTCCCTACTCAGCCCCAACCTCTCTGCCCACACTCGCTTCCTGCCATGCCCTCCGCTGCACGCTGGCTTCAGCCGCGCTCACCCTCTCCCAGTTCCCCAAACACACCATCTTTTTTCTTTATGGTTTATCTCACCGTGTCTTGCTGTTTCCTTCCTTCTGTTCTCCTTCCTGAAACCAGTTTAAATGTTGCCTCCTCTTAAGGCTTCTCCAACTCCCTGAGCCAGAGGCAGGTACTCCACCCCACCCTGCCTCCTTCCCACTGTTCCCATAGCATGCATTAAGCATGGGGACTGTAATTCCATCTGCCTGGCCCCATTTGCTTGTGAGCTCCTTGAGGACAGGACTGAATCTATCCCAGTCCTGGGCACATAGTAGGACGCCAATACACATGTGTTGAATGAATAAATGAAGGAGTGAGTGAGTGGGTTCAGTTACTTCCCATTCTAAGCACAGCCTCCGTCATAAAAAGGAGTTGGGGTCAGGAGTACAAAGCTGGTAGTCTCAGCACAGACCTTAGCTGCAGTGGCCCCTTGGACAGAAGGGACGGTGGTCGGATATCGAAAGGCCAGAAACACTTGAAATAGGGATCCAGGGGACTTCATTAAAGCCACCCTAACATGCCCAGGATGTTGAAATACCTTTTAAATATGCTCGGAAGGTTAAAATATCTTTTCCCTTTTTAACCCACTTGGCAAAAAAAACAAGCACAGTTTTAATTCCTTTGGGAGGGGGGCGTTACTATAATAACTTCAGCCATTACTTAGTCTTTATTTGCTTGATTCCAAAATTGGGCCTTTTGCAAAACTGCCTGGGGAAGCAAGTACACAGAATTAAAACATTAATTATATTATATAAAACATATCATAGCAGCAATTAAAGCAGCTTAAATTAATGTGTGAAAGAATAATTAGGAGCCTTTGGCTTGCCCCATGGGGCGAAGACCAGACAAGATAAAGGGAAGATATTTTAGTACACACATATCCCGAGGAGACATGTGCTGGCGGCACGGCACGGGCCCAGGGAAGGCACAGCATCTTGTTCGGCTGGGAAGAGACGGCTGGAGGAGGAAAGTGAGAAGATGATTTAAGGGGAGGGTGGCGACGTTCAGAGTCCCATCAGAGAGGGAAACTCTGAAGGGTTCAGTGACAGGATCAAGGCAAAGGACACGCAAAAGAGTGAGGACCCAGGATTTTGGAATCACAGAGAAAAGGGCCTTTGTAGGGGGGTAGGGTCAAGGCATGGGTGAGGAACATGCCTTGAGGTCCAGTGTCCCCAGCGGTGCCAAGCTGGCAACCAGAGGGTTCTATGTAATAGAAAACCCGATTGTGTTGCTCCCAGGTTGAAGTGACGCCCCAGGGCTCTCAGTCCTTCAGCTCGCAGGGCTGCATCTCTGCAAACCATCCTTCCTGCCTTCTATTTGATGTCCCAGCCCCACTCCCCAGATATACTGTGCCGTCACCTCTGCCTGGAAACCCTGCTCCCCTTCTCCTTTCCTCCTCCTCCTCCTCCAAGGCTCAACCCCTCCTCCGGACAGCCTGCGCCCGCAGACAGCCTGGGATGTGCCCACGTCCCTCTCCATGCGCTCTCAGAACCCCGGGGCTGCTTACCTAAGCAAGACTCCCGACCAGCCCCGTTGTATTTCAATTATTCTGTTTACTTGTCAAGCCAGTGTGTTGAGGTGACTCAACTCCGTAGGGCATAATAATGAAATTTCCCCCCCTAATTTCTGCCTTCAGCCACCCTGTGTTGAATCTCCTTTTCCATCTCTTAATGACATATCGGGCAGATTGCATTACTTTTGGATCACTTTCTATTGTTAAACCTCCATCCTTTAAGGCATTATTCTCAAACTCAATTTAAATCCCATTTTATCTTCCCTCTTACTTATCCAGGGGTTAACTTGAACCAGGACCCTTCCTGCTAGGAGTAAAAGGACTTGGGGGCAGAGGGAGGGATGTCCTAGTTGGGAGACACCCCATAGCACCCTCCCCCTTGTTGAAATGGAGGACGGAGTGGGAAAGGGCAAATATCCCTGCCTGTTTCCGGTCCCTGCTGCAGCCCTGTCTGTTGGTTGACACTTCTTTCCTGACTACTTGAAGTGGCAAATGTTCACATATGGTTTCTCATGAGGCACAGGAGTAAGTTCCTTGGGGGCTTCTCCCCAGCACAGTTCTCTGGCAGGGGGCACCCAGCTCAGGCTTGACCTCTCTTACCTCACCCCACCCCCTGGGTCCTGCCACTGATGAGACCTCTTGTCCAGAAGTCAACCTGCTTGGGCAGGACACCAGAAATTGCTCCAGCCAGGCTAATCGCCAGTGTCCCCGTGACCCAAAGCTGCTCCACAGCGCACCCTCTTTCCCCCACCTCTCCTCCCTGCTCAGACAGGCACGGTCCGCTACCCACCATCCAGCCCCCATTCGGGAACAGCATCCCACTCCTGCAGTCGCCTCTCAATCTCCATGAGGGACTCTCTTCGGGCCTGCCCCACCCTTTAGTTAGGA